GAGTTATGAAATTAAAAAATGAGCCGTTACCTTTAATATGAATTATGAGCGTCAGCTGCTCTCGTTCGGAAAAAAACTCCCGTGCGATCGTCATGACAGCGCTTGACAAAACAACGTCCCTCAGGGCTTTTAGCTCAAACATGTGCAGATTTGGAGAAATAGATTCTCATAGGTTTACATCAGATTTCTATAGACAGGAATAATGTTTATTGAATTTATACCCAAATGCGTCGATGTAATCATTATGAGCGCTGTATACTCTGATGTACTGTGTTTTCAATTCATACTGGCAGTCTGAGGGCGCTGTTTGTTCAGTAAAGTCCATATATGGATCACATGAAGAAGAGCCATAACCATGTGACAAGGAAGTCTTGCCACAACAAGCTTCCAGAGATCGCTGTAAAGTGCAGATAAAGATGTTTTGAAGACAATAAACATGATTGCAATGATATTTGAGTTACCTGTGTTCTTCAAGCCATGCCAGGTATTTCATAATAATAGATTATATTTATAATGTAATGCTAATCGATAGAGATTTCATCATCGTGCAGAACACTATAAATAATACATTTTCTGTCTGATTTTTTTTTATCTGAAGCCAAATCAGATCACAGAAGATTATTTAAAACACTCGACTTGCGTTATAAAGTAAGTTTGGAGAACAGACATGGTTTTAATCTCATAAATGGTCGTGTATTGATGGTGTGCTAAGCTAAAATGCTAGCTAGCCCAGGTGCACCTGCTATACCAGCAGTTATTGTTTTATGTTTTTTATTCTAAATAGGAATGCTTACTGAAATGTTTCAGTGCATTTGAAACCAGTTTCAAATATTTAGTGAGAACTTTGATAAAAGAAATTAGGGTTTGAAACCCTATGAATAGCATGTGAATAGCCAGTCGTTAGTAGCTATAATGCAGACAAAAGAAATGCATATTTAGAGCCATAATAACCAGTCTGGAGAGGTGTAAATGTGTGCAGGGGAGACTGACACTGAATGGGACTCGTTTTGCACCACAAAACAATAGCTAGACAATAGACTGAATAGATGACTAAACATCAGTTTGCATTGAAGATACTAAATCAGTCTAATTAAAATAAAGTAATTTGACATGATCTTGAAAAACATTTAACTAAATACAGAGTTTTAGACTTATCATTTTCAGATTTTAAATATAAAATGGTCACACATATGGCTTTAGCTGCAGTGCATTTCTAGATTGCTCCAGGGCCAACTTCAATTTTATTTTCATGAAGATGTTTCATAAAAAAAAATTCTAATAACTTTACAAAACTTTGAAGCTATTTTTTTTTTAAAAATCATTATGACAATAATTAATTCTACATGTACAATAAACTACCAGGTGTAAGCTTTCAAATGAGATCATACTTGTGCTTTTAGTGCAAAGGGTTCATGAACTGTATCTGTTTCAGTTTGGGAATGCCATTTCTGGGGATTTTTCAAAAGTGGGCTTGCAGCTTAACAGGTAAACATCTACTCTCGTGTAATGGAAATCATTAGTTTCATGATCATGTTCGTTTTCCCTGTCACCTTTCCTGAGTTCTCGTTCATAATTTGTTACCATGGTTTCTGATTTAGTTGCGAACCTGTTTCTTGTTCTGTTGGATTATTCCTTCTGTGTATTTAAGCCCTCAGTTCTTTCTGTTCATTGTTCTGTGTAGTTTATGATAATTGTTTTGCTGGATCTCTTGATGTTCATTAAAATAATGTTTTCATTCATTCTGCATCATGAATCTTTTCTTTTGATAAAACACAGCTATCCTTGACACACTGTAGCTCTCAATTCTACGCTTGTGCACATTTAAGAAAAGGGAACCTCACATATTAATGTTTTGAAACAGGGGTGATTCTAGGATTTCAGCCCCCAATAATGGTTTGATTAAAAAAAATTAAATATCTATATTGTTTGTAATCTACGTTAGGCATGAACAGTACTAGATTGTACACTACCCATCAAGTCAACCCCTGAATAATGAATTAATTTCAAATCGTTTTAATTAACCAACCAATATTCATACATATTTATTAAAGCTACAATATGTTTGTTTTTTCGCCGCTAGGGGTCGCTAACCTCTTACAATAACAAAGGCGTAGGTTGATGATGCAGTGATAAGCGGAATGATGGGACTTGCTGTCATGCTAATGGATCTAATAATGTTTATGGATGAGTGAAAATATTCACGACTGTGCTATGAAGCAGGTCGTGATTGCTAATGAGAGACAGATATCAGCGCCACACGTGAGCCCCGCGGATATAAAGGAATAAGGACATTTAATTCTACCGAACTACCCGTAAGTGCAGAATTACTACTCACACAGGTCAGTTTATTTGACAAATTAAACTTGAGGTAACAAAGCGCTGTTGCATTTGGTCTAAAGAGCATACTAAACAGCATTTGAGTCTAGATCAACATTAGAATAACATACTGATCATATTCTAAGATTTCATCATGTTTAGCTATATACAGCCCATTCTCATCCCTAGGCGTCATGAAACTGACGCCTTGGGAATCATTTTGACCATGCTTCAATATTTGACGCTTTAGGCACCCTTTAGCGTCAGTTACATGACGCGATCCTAGGGCGTCATCTTACTGACGCTTTACCTTTAACGTCAGTTAGATGACGCTATCTAATCCTAACCCTACCCCAGACCTAAACCTACCCGCGTCATCTAACTGACGCTAAAGGTAAAGCGTCAGTAAGATGACGCCCTAGGATCGCGTCATGTAACTGACGTCAAAGGGTGCCTAAAGCGTCAAATATTGAAGCATGGTCAAAATTGTCATTTTAGTGACGCCTTGGGGTGAGAATGCGTTGCTATATAACATTGATTTGTTTTATGTGCATTTGCTCACCTGTCTAAAAAAGTACATGCAAGAGTGGCATCCCTGTCAAGTCGTGACTCGTGAAGCTCTGCCAAGTCCAAGTTAGTCGTGGACGTGGAGCTCTCGGCATCTCGAAAGGCCTCGCTGATATTGATCCTTGTTTTAGTTCTCCTTTTGTCCCAAAGTCTGCTTGCTATGGTTCATAATGTTTGAACGACAGCAACAACATTGTGCCGCTAGAAGTTACGCACTACGCTGTCCACGTATGTCGTTACTATGGCAGTACAAGTGGAAACCAGGGATAACGCGGATATTATGTCATTGACAGGCGACAAGTGAACAGGGACGGGTACTTTTTAAAATTGTGAATTTCTCTGAATTTACAAATTCTTGGAAACATTTAGGATAATGGAAGTACACAGTTGAAAGAAATATAACACTGTACAAGTGGTTTTTGGATATTTGAATAAAAAATTATTACATATTGTACCTTTAACAATATGGACAAAATGTATATTAATATAATAAAAAACCAGCACATAAATCTATCATTTTACCAATAAATATCTTTACTCTAAGGCTAATAAATGTGTCACAATCAAGATAACTCCACGTTTCTCTGTCATTTACTCTAAAAAGCAATTTAAATAAGTGCATAAGTGCTGTCTGTCACTAGCCATGTTTCCATCCACTTGTCAATCGAATTATCTGAAGTTCGGTAAAAAACCTCATGCGAATAAAGCTGGTGAAAGTGTGTTTCCATCCAATGACTTTAAAGCGGATAAAAACCTGTGCGTAATGACGTCACATGCTATTTTGCGATCAAATTGGTATATCGAATTGATTCGAGACATGTTAAGGTGTTTCCATTCTTTTTCTCACCGAATTTCACAACATTCAAGCCAACATTTGCGAACAAAGTTTTACTAGGCAAAATGGATCGCGCCATAATAACGTTTCCATCCGCGTTTATCGCATAAGCCATATATCGATCAAGATAAAATTCGATGAGACCGATTGGATTTCATTTGAGTCGATATTCATGAAATTTATAAAAAATAAAAGACTGAAGGCCCCTAAAAAGGCCCCTGTTTTGAACTTCAAGTGTGAATGAGATTTGACAGTTATGGCAGAATGGGATCTTTCATTGCTCTTTTTCTCACACAAAGATATGACTTCAGAAATCATCAGTCTTCAAAAGTTTTCAGAAGTCATATGGACTGCTTTTACAGTGTTTTTTTTTTTTTTTTGGAGCTTGACCAATTACAATTTTAATTTACAATTTTAATTTCAATGTATTGAAAAAAGGAACTATATATTTCTGCTGCATTTCTCCTTTTTGTAACATGAAAATAAACTCAAAACAGGCTTTGAATGATATGAGGAGTAAATGATAACAACATTTATATTTTGAACTATTCCTTTAAATACATTGGTTCTCAGCAAGTGGGTCCTGATCCAAAAATATGTCACAGACCTATTAGGGACATAACAGGGGAACAAATTATACAATGCAACCATATTTAGGGCATATTTTCTGCACTTATAAGACAGGGGGGAAAAATGAAATTAAATAAACTCATATCTAACCAATAACAAATCTACACAGCGTAAAAGAAAATACAACCCAGACAACATTAAATATGGGTTCACTAGGAACAAGGATGAACTTGTGTGCCAAATATTGTCTGCATTATTTTGTGCAGTGAGCTCCCGGCTACCGAGGGAATGATGCAGTCTAAATTAAAGACATTTTAGAAACCAAACACTCAGACAACAAAGACAAGCTTGAAAAAAAAAAAAGTTTTTAATGTTAATATTATTAAATTACAAAAAGTGCCATTAATTACAATGTATAACATTCATACCTAATGCTAATTTAATTATTGTGTATATTAATACATTTCAGTGTTTCATTCCATGGACATTTTTGTTCACTTTTGTTTAAGGCTTAAAACTAGTCCCAGTCACTGATTGTCAGCGTTTAAATTATATAATTATATATAATTATATATAAAGTGTTTATATTAGCTAAATCAACTATAATGTCAAGCAAACTGATATTTTAAAAGATTACTCCACATTTTCTGTAATCTGGACCACAACAGGTGATGCTTACACTTATCTAACACTTATCAATTTCCATTCTTAGGTGTCACAACTGTCCTGACTATGACCACACTGAGTATAAGTGCCCGGAACTCACTTCCCAAGGTGGCCTATGCAACAGCCATGGACTGGTTTATGGCAGTGTGCTATGCCTTTGTCTTCTCTGCTCTCATTGAGTTTGCCACCGTCAACTACTTCACAAAGCGCAGCTGGGCCTGGGATGGCCAGAAGGAGGCCCAGGAGATGCGGGTAAGATAGACCATTTAATACGTTGGAGTAGGATGTCACAATGCTGTAAAAGTACAGTACTTCCTGTACACTTGAGTGGGTAACACTTTATTTTAAGGTGCTTGTAATAAGCAGTAATTAACAGTTAATAAGACACTTATAAGACCTTATAAGATGCATATAAGATGCATATAAGCATTAACTAATGATAATAAATAAATTAAATAAAATAATAAATTTCTCAAGTATCAATACATTGCACTTTTAGAACAGCCGAACAAACATAAATGGTAACACAAACTCCCAGTCACTTAAAAATTGACCTTCCCAAGAGGGAGTAGTTTCCCTGATCTCTTCAGGGCCTGGACCTTTAATTAACCCTTATATGAAGTAGTTAATGCTTATATGCATCTTATAAGGTCTTATAAGTGTCTTATTAACTGTTAATTACTGCTTATTACAAGCACCTTAAAATAAAGTGTTACCCAAAATTGCAGTAAGCTTTACCTTTTAAGCTTGTGTATTTTTATAGTGTTTCTCAGTGTAATCAATCACTGTTTCATTTTTTTATAGAGTTCCTCCAGACAATAAGCAATAAATATTCAGCATATAAATCCTAAACTAACATGGGCTTTCTTGTTAGCAAGCTTGTCACTATTGTAATTTTTCATCGAGGTTGTTCCCGCTCAATAAGTTTAAGGGCTGCCAACCTTCTCTCTTTTTCCCCCACCGCTTTTGCTTGCTCTTGATTATTGCCACCCTCTGTCCTGGCCTTGATAACCTCTGAGAAATGAAGTGCTTAGAGCTAATGCATGTGAATTGCTGCAGAGAAAGCTCAGCGAGGTGCCGCATTGCTCACAGTATGAGGAGATATTGTACCTGGGAATCACTAATATAAATTCCTGTTTCGTCCTCTTGTTGTAACCCATGCTTAATCTGTCGAGAAACACTTTACTTCTTCATTAACTGTTCAATAGAATAGAAATGTTGTGTTTCTACAGAAAGCGTCGAGAACAGCTGCAGAGTCTCTCCGAAGAGAGTACAATGCAAAACTGATAGCACGTATAGGCTTGGACAATAGAAGTTAAAGTCGGCTGTTAAAAAATGGAGTAAAAAAGTGAGTGACTATGTATGTATAATATGGATGAAAAACTTTTTCTAACATTAGTTAGTTGAATAAATGCTAATTTTCACAACGCATTCCTTTATGGAAGTTTGGGGGAATGTTTACAAAATGTTTAGTTTACGACTAGGGGTGCTCCGATTGATCGGCTATCGGCCGACAATCACTTCTAAGTACTCAATCGGCAATCTCTCAATTTGCCAATTGTGAACTTGAGAGGTGCGGCATGACTTTCAGTGGCGTCATCTCAATCTCTGTCGGCGCAGGAAAAATAATTCTAATACTGAAGGTGAGGTACACTTCTAGCCTGGGAACACCCAGACAACTTCCGGCAAATTAAGATTTGCTCTGAAAGTTAGTTTGGCAAAGAGCTCATTCAAGCCCATTTCCAATCCGTCGAAATCGAGGCACCAATCAGAAACGTTGGGGCGGGCTTTACACGATGATGACAGCGCTGGGATTTTGAAGCAGATTTTGTAGCCTACATTACAAAGATGGATGCCGCCGTCGAACATCACTCGTTCGAATCAGCTATCGCGTCTGTTTTAAGCGATTTGAACGTTTCCTTTTTGTTAAAAACCGAGCAAAGAACAACACTTGGAGATGTTTTTCCGCCGCTCTGCATACGTCATCTCCTTCATCGCTCTGATTGGGTTTAGGTCTATCCGCGACGTCCGTTGGTGACGCCCCTCTGGAAATAATTTGTCTATGACGCTTTGCCAGACCATAACTCAGTTACAACTGAGAATGGTATGGTTTTAACCAGGCTAGTACACTTCATACATCTTTATTAAATAAATCGGTCAATTGAAAACTTTGTGAGAAGTAATTTCACAAATGGCACGAGAGAATCAGCGCTCTCTCTCTCTCTAAATGTGCAAATGACTTCACATCTCTACATCACACACTACATAAGCGAATTGCACGCTGCACAGTTGACGGAATTGTCACTTTTTAAACCATTCAGTAGGCCTACTCGCACGCTCTCTGAGAGACAGGGCACTCATGCACGCTCAAAGCGTGCACACATAAAGCCGCCTAACAGGTCAATGGTCAAAATGCGCTTTAATAGTTAAATACACACATGTACAAAATTACTGTCTTGCCGAGTTTTCACGTAAACACAGTTGGTTATGTCTTAAATAAAAGTAAACAGTCGATAAAGAAAACGCAAGTGTATAGGGCCTTTCACACGGAGCGTGATTAAACGGTGTGAATGTAAGTCGCTATGAAGAAACAATAGATCCCTATGGAGCTATTCACATCGGGCGCGATCTATCGCAGCGCGACAAAGCGAGATTTTTCCCGGAAGGGAGAAGAGAATGGATTTTGAGTGTTATCATTGGTGTCTGAGAACAGATATATTTTTACACGTTCTTTATATAGATTATCATTCTATTCATGTTCCACTGAATTATGCAATCTGAAGAGCTTGAAATGGCATAGAGCGCTGCTTTCTTCCGTGCGTGTCTATTATAAGTCAGAGAGTTAATTCGCTCTAGAGCTGTCAATCATATTATGTGATCATAAATCCTGCTCTTCCGAATGACGACGTTGTGTTCATTTCCTCGTTCTGAGTTCCAGACAGTTCCACACATATACAAATGAGAGACACATTTCTACAGATGAAACATGAAGCCAAATAAATATGATTATACGATGATATATGTTCTGTATGTTTGTCTGTATGCTGCTCTGGGTATTTTTACAACAATAAAGAATGAGAAATGCTTAGCAGGTGTACCATTCAGTTTACTATAAAACACTACAAATAATGCACGTCTGCCCATTATTCAATCAAAATACACTTTTGAAGATCGCTGTCGGAAGTTATTACATGCACCCGATGATGGTTTCTGTGTTGTACCAAACTTTATTTATCTTAATTTGCTGTTGTATGTTGTGCAGCAGTCATGGGTAAAGTCAAATGGGAAAACCTACAAGTTACATACTTGAGGAAAAATGTTGTTCAAATGTGTGTTTAGCGTCACCTATTGTGCTGGCGTGAACTAGCTGAAGGCAATCAATCATTTTGCATTCAGTGTGAAAGCTCCGTTTGTGGGCGATTCGCTTAGCTTTATCACATTGCGCTCATGTGAAAGAGCCTTGACAGTATATTTTGACAGCTGTCTTAAAGTGACAGCAGCCTAATAAACCTGTTGCCGTTTGTGCCATTAATGCTAATCAAACAACAAAAGACATCTAAACTCTTGACTAGGGCTGTTTTCGACTAAGGATTTTCATAGTCGAATCTGATTCATTAGATTTTGCCGTAGTCGACTGATAGTCGAACCTTTTTTTTTTTTTTTTTTAGATAGCAGCTAGACGTTCGGTTTAATAACTGTTCGTCTGTTATAGGACAACTCGCTCTACGTTTATTTAAAATGAACAGCAAGACAACTAGAAGTGAATGTGCTTTCCATTAAATGAATCCTTAACACAAAAACAACGTTGCAATGAACGTGCTTTGTTTTAAATAAATCACACACAGTACACAAAACCTTAACAAAAAACTTTGCAATGAACTTTGCGATTTAGACGCACAAACTGCGTGCCAGTGCGGTGAGAGTAGCCTACATGCTCGGGCAGATTCGGCTTGAAGTCGTTCATCCTCGGATGCGGCACCGCGCGCGCTGTTACAAATAAAGCTGTGCACACAGCCAAGCAATGGGGTCTTGCCGGTCTTGCGCACCCAACGCGTAATTTTTTTTGCCGTGCGCACCTTCGCGCTCGCGCGGACGCGTCGAGTATAAACAAGGCTTTACTCCGTGTCAGCGGAGGTCAGTAAAGGTGCACAGACCTCTCCCGAATCATCTCCAGCACTCAGCCTCCGATCACACCACTAACTCCGCCTCCGTTTCCCTCGTAAGATGATATTAGTATTTAAACATTCTCTATGATACAAAATGTTTGTAAAAAATATTTTAATAGCACGGTTTTGGCGGTTATAGAGTTCTAATGACGGTGTTCAACTACCGTCGGTCTCACGGTTATATAATAACGTCACACCCCTCATAACACTTGCCTACTATTCGACTATGAGGTTCATAGTCGAATCAGACCTCTCCGAATCGAATCGTCGAATCCTCGACTATTAGAAGTCAGCCCTACTCTTGACTGAATATATTTTGTAACTTTAAATTTTAGGATTAATCTGACTATCCATCGGTATTTTACATTTGTTTATTCAATTTCTGTACTATTTCTTACCTGAATACTACTGTTAGACCTACCTGAGAAAACTTAAAGCACTGTCTATTTCATTTGTATCATTATTATTGCATTTATTTGTGCTACTTATTGTAATTTGTTTATTTGTTCTTATTTTATTATTAACTGTTTACTTCTATTTTGTGTAAATTCAATTCAGAGTTTGAAATCAAGCTTGTGCAACAAAATTGCCCAATTGAAAAACAAAAATGCATTGCGTGATCAAACATTTAGCTGAGATAATTATGTATTTTTTGATAAATTAAGGAGGAAATTCACCCCAGTTTCCAAAAAAAAATGTAGGCCCTGAATTAATAACTGTAAAATTCTGATCGGAGTGGCCCTATAAATAATGCTACGTGATAAAAAAGGCTTCAAATAGACCCCATGATCGGTATCTGCAAATAAGGCTTCTGTAATCTGCCCCAAATATCCTGATCGGAGCACCCTTAGTTATGACTGTAATCACGGTTCCCTGAGAAGGGGAAAGAGACACGCCGTCTGGAACTGATGCTATGGGGAACTCCCTCTGTGTGACCAGTGTCTGAAGACATGTAACAAACACGACAATTGATTGGCTGATGGCAGTCTTTGACGTCAAGAGGATGCCTGCAAAATACGATGCATGGCAAACCATGATTACAGTCGTAACATGAGACGCTCCCTTTTGAAGTGGATCTTCGACTTG